CTGATTCATCAGATTGAAGATTGGCACAATTTCATTTGTTGTTTCGTCCTGTGTCCCAAGGCTGGTGTCTCAAGATTAAGGATGATCTAAAAATAGATTCCTTATTAGACCACATTGATTTTGATTTGTTGGTTCTTGGATTTTTTCAGAAAAAATATATGAAGCGGCAGGGTGAAAAAAATAAAAACAGGCAGAGGCATCCTATTATAGCCTGAAATGCTATAGGAGCCATGATGTCAACATACCAGGCTGGTTAGTACATTCAAACAATGAATTTCATACTTTTAATCAAACCGTGTATTGATAGATTGAAAAACTGTTACAATTCTGAAGAGAAGGGACTTCCTTCAACTGCTGGGGCAGAAATATGAGCATTTTGGACTTGATTTAGAGCCTGAATTTTTTTTTGCAAATCAGAAAAAAAAGAAACTGGCAAATACGAGTACCAACAAATTACTAGTAAATTGGTGTGGCCCAATGTTAGATATGACAGCTGTGATGTCAGGTACCTTTCAGCCCTACATTTTGTTGTCTTTCAACTGCTTTCTGTTTTATGGAAGAGTTGCATGCAGAGGATGTTAAAAATAACGGTTTCAGTGGAAAGCCAGAGTAGCCATGACTTCAGCACCAAGGACAGTCCCCCCACTCTCTCTCGCATTTTGGACTTGATTCAGAGCTTGACGTTTTTTTTTTTTTGCAATTCAGAAAAAAAAATGAAGTGGGCTTAGGCTCAATGTAAAATTTACAATCTTTGTTTACTCTCTTGTGTGTGGGTTAGACATACATAAGAATATATCAAAAATCTACCTGTACATTAGCATAATGATGATCTATGTCTGTCTAATTTGCATGTTCGTGAGTGGATTTAAGTTACACCTGCGTGATATTTACTGATCTTAGCCAGTTTGATATATTAATCACGCTCATAGAAATTAGGAGGGAGGCAGACAGATGTGAATAATTATAATCATCATCATGTTCACAGAAATTACAAGGGAAGCAGACAGATGTTTAACAATTATGAATCATTTGTTGACAAATTCATATCATTTATAACTGCAAGACAGCCAAAACACCTCTCACATTATTCACAATACTACCAAAAAATAAAGTACATGCCACACCAATTTAATTTAATTTAATTTGTTTTTTCTCTGATTCGTCCTGTCCATTTTTTTCAAAACAAAAAAAAATTTGCAAAACAAAAAAAAATTTAGATTCTGAACCAACTGCTCAATGAAAGTCTGACATATTTTGGCCCCAAGTCCTTCTCTTCCTAGTTGTTTAAGTTCTTATATATAAAAATGCAACTTCGTTTCATTAAAAGTTCAAAATCTATTGTTTCGATTATAAAAACCAGCCTGGTATGTTGACTTCATAGCTCATATCGTAACATTTCCAGCCTTCATGGGTTGCCTAGGCATGTTTTTTTTTCATTTCGCCGTGTCGTTTCATATTTTTTCTAAAAAAATCTGAGAAACAACATAGGAACATAGCAAAATTAATGCTGGTCTAGCCTTCCTACACTATAATTTTGTACAAGTCATGATGTACATGTCAGAAAAGATAGGAGATTATAATTTCCTCCTCTAGGTAGATCTCCCTGCAGGATACACCCTGGAGGTAATCCACCTTTTACCCCTGATCCTCCCACGCAGACACGCAACACAAGACCTCACCTAGCCTGTCAATGCCTTCGTTATGCCCTAAAAAGGTTTAGGCCACTGCAAGTAATTTTTATGTATGACAACAGCGCGTGCATTAATTTTTGCCTGATTTTTGAAAAAAAAAAAGAAGAAATTTTCTTGCCCTTGACAGTGAAAATGGGCAAAGATGTCTGTTGCCATGCCGGAACGTGGATGGCAGATAAATATATTATGAAGAGAGGAGACAAGAAATGGCTCTGTTTTGTTTCTTACTTTGATGCAGTGATATGTGATGCTGGCTGTGTATATGTGTATGTGATGTTCCCACTGAATCAAAACCATTTGTACAATGACTGAGTCAAAATTTTAAAATGTAGGACCTTGTTTTTTTTGGCCCGCCTTGTTTTTTTTTTGCCCGCTCGCATTAGATTTGGAGTTTGTGGAGGTTGTCATCCATAAAATTGACTTGCTGTGGCCTTGTGAAAAAAACTAAGCATAATAGATATGACAGATCCGGCGATGCCAGTTTAGATTTACATTCACAGCTTTCAGATTTGGTATGATAATGATCATGATAACATGACATAAAGATAGTAAGGCCAGTGAAGAAGTATTTAGTCATTTTTTATGTGCATTCTCAGCACACATTTCAAGCTCTTCAAGGGTACTTCCGCTGCCACTAAGCTTATCAACCATTAAAAAAACGAAACGTACAGCAACATGCAAATATAACTGCGAAGGAGATGAAATATACAGATCACTGCATTTCGTAAAAAGTAAGTCATTTTGTACTTGCATTCTCAGCATAAATTTCAAACACTTCAAGGGTACTTCCGCTGCCACTAAGCTTATATAGCAACCATTAAAAAATGTACAGCAACATGCAAATATAACTGCAAAGGAGATGAAATATACAGATCACTAGTTGTGCATTTCGTAAAAAGTAAGTCATTTTGTACATTCTCAGCACAAATTTTAGGCCCTTCAAGGGTACTTCCACTGCCACTAAGCTTATCAACCATCAGGAGTCGAAATTCATTTTTGGGAATAGGTGCACTGCTGCACCCAACCAAAAAAATTTGGTGCACAAAACATTTTTTGGGTGCACCATATAAAACAAAACAAAATTACACTGATCTTACTGCTCCTCTTCTGAGCTTGAATCTGAAATGGGAGCTAACTTCAAAATCTTAAACAAGTACATGTACTACAACAAAGGTTTTATTATTTTTCTGACACTTAGATGCCAAGAATATCCTGCATACTATTATACATTTGATATGACAATTAACAAAATACCAACAAAAATATTTGGGTGCAAAAAAATTGGGTGCACAGTTCCAATTTTGGGTAAAAAAAGGTGCACATGCACCCAGTATTTTGAGCCCTAACCATTTAAAAAAAAACGAATAGCAACATGCAAATATAACTGTCACAGTGGTAAAGGTGAAGGTGTGGAGATGAAATATAGTCAGATCACTGCGCAGTTCGTTTGTATTCATATTCTGACTCACTGCCCAAGGCCAAACATAGGGGGAGAGCAGGCGGTGAGATCGCAATCAGTAGAAATGGAAGCAAGTCATCCTCCCTGCATTCCCAAACGCTCCGGGCTAGCAATGCATATTTATCAACATTGGAAGGTCAAGCAACACATTTCCATCCGTATTACCTTAGAGCTAACTTTCGTGATGTCAAAGGGTTCTGCCTGCCGCTTTTCAAGCACCAGGTGTCACTTACATTAGGTCACGCTATTTCTATACTAAATTGATAGGCGGCAGTGGCTTCTAAAGCCAGGGGGCAGGAAATGCAAACATTGAGTATATAGAGCAAAATACTGGTCGGATTTTCATGTCACTTCACTCCAGAGATGGAAAAAAAGTACCAGGTATCTTTTGCATTATATTAGGTCACGCTACCTCTATACTAAATTGATAGGCGGCAGTGGCTTCTTAACGCCAGGGGGCAAGAAATGCAAACATTGAGTATATAGAGCGAAGTACTGGTCAGATTTTTATGTCACTTCAATCCAAAGATGAAAAACATTGTGAGCAGAACAGTTACATTATTTTGAAGATTTACATGTAGGTTTTAGACACATTCATGATCATAACACTGAGAGCTTCATAGATATAAATCAACAAAAACATTAGCTGATACTACACCTTGCCAATTTCTGTTTGTCCCAAAAACAAACTGAAGCAATATTCTAGATGCTACTACTTTCATTGTACATGTATGTTGAATTGTCAGCAGCATAGCAACATGTAAAATTCTGTAATACTTTCCCATACAATCCTACCTTGCCTCATCTCATACTGCATCATTTCCACTAAAGCAGTGACTGCTAAAATATATTAAATATTTTCATTCCATGCTAAAACATCTGCCCATTTTTTTTGCTTGCAAATTCTACTTTATTGTAGATAGAGAGACATGTAAAATTCTGTAATACTTTCCAATACACCCAAATTATGTAATGTCTTGCCTGTCACAATTTCATACTTCATCATTTCCACTGAAGCAGCACTGCTAAAATATATTTCCTTCCATGCTAACATCTGCCCTTTGTTTTGTTTGCATTCTCGATTGTAGATAGAGAGACATGTAAAATTCTGTAATACTTTCCAATGCACCAAAATTATGTAATGTCTTGCCTGTCACAATTTCATACTTCATCATTTCCTCTGAAGCAGCACTGCTATAATATATTTCCTTCCATGCTAACATCTGCCCATTTTTTGGTTTCCGTCCTATACTTTAGACAAATTGTAAAATTCTGTTACAGTAATACTTTCCAATACACCAAAATTATGTAACTTGCCTGTCACAATCTCATACTGCATCATTTCCACTGAAGCAGCACTGCTAAAATATATCCTTCCATGCTAACATCTGCCCATTTTTTTTTGCATTCTATATTTACTGTAGATATTAGAGAGACATGTAAAATTCTGTAATACTTTCCAATACGCCAAAATTATGTAATACTTGCCTGTCACAATCTCATACTGCATCATTTCCACTGAAGCAGTGACTGCTAAAATATATTTCCTTCTGTGCTAACATCTACCCTTTTTTTTGTTTGCATTCCATATTTATTGTAGATAGAGAAACATGTAAAATTCTGTAATACCAAAGAGCAACTAAGCTCCTTGGTAATACTAATTTTCCAATACACCCAAATTATGTTATACTTCCTGTCACTATCTCATCATACTTCATCAATTGCATTGAAGCAGCACTGCTAAAATATATTTCCTTCCTTGCTAGCATCTGCCCATTCTTTTGTTTCCGTCCTTTACTTTATTGTAGATAGAAAAAAACATGTATCATAAGAAACAAGGAGAATCCTACCTTTCCATTTGGGCTGGATTTCTTGAAGACCCTGTAGAAACACAAAGAGGAAGACAACGATGATGAGTAATGGCTCAGAACTATCGCTTCGATCAGCGTCCGGGCGGCAACATCAATTTTTGAGAGAGCAGACCTAGGACTCGGAGAAGGACCTACGTGACGGAGAGGGAGTGTTGTAGCTGCGGCATGATCCCTGCGAGAGCTTGCGTCTTCTCTCCGGCGGTTACGAGGGCACACTGACGGTACTACCCACCCATCATCCTCAATATCATCCCTGATATCCACACTGCATTAGCATTTCTAAAGCGCCCATGAATAAAGCGCCCGGGTAAAGCAGGCTGATCCCCAACCTGCATGCCTAATGCTTTTACGTTATGTTGATGACGGCGAATCACGTGGAGAGTGGGGCTATTGACATATGCTCCGAGAGTGTGTAGGAGAATGGATTGGGTCATTAAAGAGTCTAATAGCGTAATTTGTAATTAACGGCCACCGGTGGCAACGAAGGGCACACTTTCGCCCCAGGTACGTCAGGTTAAATGCCGCAAATCTGTCACAAGGGAAAAGGCTAAGATTATGGGGGTGACTTAGTCTAAATGCAGTTCCTGTTTCAAAACGTATTACATATACAGCAATGTGTAAAGGAGTAATTCACAATTATAAAACAGTGTACAAAATACTTTTTTGAACCAGGTGGGCAACCTATGGCAAAAATTAGGTTGCTTATCAGAATTTTAGGTTGCCCCACCTATAAGTTATTACTTTCCTCAAATTAAGTTATGTTATGTATACATAAGCCTTTGACAATATTTCCAACAGCCTGTAGTAACTTAACTGATACTAGTAATAGCCATTAATACCTAAAATTAAAAAGCATCTGCCGGATACAGTGGTGCAAGCCAAGTGGACATGATTTTTTTTGGGGGGGGGGGCATTCTTAAAATTCTTAGGTAGCACACTGGGCTATCTAGGTTAAAAATTAAGTTGCCCCATTAAAATTTGGTTGCCCGGGGCAACTTGGCAACCAGGTATTTTGTACACTGAACTTCAAGGCTAAAAAGCAGATAAATGTTCCAACGTATATATTATATATCATATATGATAGCTTGATATTCATCACGTGGTTTATGAATCCCAAATGTGCAGCGTGATTCTTATTGTAAACGACAGCCTTAATTTAAGTTTCCTACACGACTGTGTGCTTGAATTACAAGTAACCGAAATGACAAACAAGCAGTGACATCTGCTGATGTGGTGAAATATGTATAATTACAAATTCTATTTCCAGCAAATTCCATTTTTGTTAGATGATATATTGTGTATACAAGGAGGCTGTGACAACATCAAAGCACTTAAAACTGTAAGATTATGTTCCTAGACGAAACTGACAGGAGGACTTAGTGTACAATTTCTTCTGCTTTTAAAAGGAGCGAAGATGAATTGTTACAGTAGTAGCCACTTTTTATTTGTCAATGAGTGTGTTCATTCCTGGTTAGTAATAATACCAGTATTTTAAAAATAGAAAGGCTGGCAATAAAATCTATTAGCAACAGTTAGGGTTGGGGTTTACCGACAGCTACAGCTATTAGCGACAGTTTTTTCTAGTTTAAAATCTTAAGTGTTATTTATCTGTTATGTTGGTGGTTTTGTTATGTGATATTATGGTTGTAGTCGCTGTCTGGGTGTTTGTGTAGTAAGACTTTACCCCTCATGTTGGAAACAGATAACAGATCATAGTCATTATGATTTATGTGCATTTCTATTTGTATGAATTTCTTTTATATGGGACATAGATGCCTGAAATAAAGCAGATAAAGCATAACAAATACACATGAACCTCCATGGAAACTGTACTTCCAGTAAGAAACATATAATTGGTCTCCAGGAGCACCCCAGGAAGAGGGGGACAGAATTCCCAGCAGGATGAGACAAAATGGCTGATAGTCCAGCGTGCAAAATACCTGGTTGCCCAGTTGCCCCGGGCATCCAAATTTTACTTGGGGCAACCTATTTTTGAACCTAGGTAGCCCAGTGTGCTACCTGAATTTTAAGAATGCCCCCCCCCCCACGAAATCATGCCCACTTGGCTTGCACCACTGTATCCGGCAGATGCTTTTTAATTTTAGGTATTAATGGCTATTACTAGTAGCAGTTAACTAAAGGCTGTTATAAATATTGTCAAAGGCTTATGTATGTAACATTACTTAATTTGAGGAAAATAGTAACTTATACCGTGGGGCAACCTAAAATTCTGATGAGAAACCTGGTTAAAAAAAGTATTTTGTACACTGATAGGCATTAGTAATTGCTATTCGTCACCCCTGCCACAGATCTTAGATCAGGCTAGCTTGCCCGGATGGCTGATTAGGAAACTCGGAGGTGGCTGCTTGGAATTCCTGGCCAACAGATATACCGGATACATGAGAACCTACTTCCGGAGACACACAGATAATGAATTTAACTCTGCGTATACACCAACATTACGGAAAATCCTGTCTAAGAGCTAAAATTCTTCAAGGGGGCAAATAATATACGTAATATCTGTACATTTTGTATCTGTATAGCTGGTATAATTACTGCCCTTCGGCATAACACACCAGCTTCTGTATCTGTATAGCTGGTATAATTACTGCCCTTCGGCATAACACACCAGCTTCTGTATCTGTATAGCTGGTATAACTGCCCTTCGGCGCAACACACCAGCTTCTGATCTGTATAGCCGGTATAACCGCCCTTTGGCGTAACACATGTACCCCAGCTTCTGTATCTGTATAGCTGGTATAACCACCCTTTGGCGTAACACACCAGCTTTGCAGGCACACGGCGCGGTGGCAGCTGGCTACATTACACCGAACATCTAACTCTAAACATTGTTTAAAGCTATCTGATGATAATGCCCCTACCGTACTTGGTCACAGCGAGTTCCATTCTCTATCTTTATCTGTATGTACTATAGAGTATTAGGCTTGCTCCCCAAGGCATCACCAAAAACAGGAAGTACATAAAAAGTCTGGAAGCCTGAAAAAACATTTTCCACTTAACTAATAATCTTAAGTTAAACTTTTACAAAACTGCAAGCAAACATACTGGTAGGTTGTCATATTGTAGGCAAGAAAATACACTTTGCTTAACTCTTCATAAGACCTGTTTAAAAGGTACTTACCGGTATATAAACCGTGCTAAAGGGTATATATAGATTTTAATCCTGTCGAAAAATGCTTGTGTACGTCAATGACCTATATGTACAGGAGTCAATGCCCACGATATGCAGATTTTTAAAAAAATTGTACATTGTACAATAGTTGTACAAAGATAAAAATGTGTTACTAAGGGCACTGAATCCTGGGTTATTGAGGTATATAATACAAGCATTTTGAATAGGATTTAGTACTTGTGGATCATCAGTACTACCAGTTTCAACTGCCTTGTTGACCTGTATCTGTATTAAATTTTGTATCTGTATAGCTGGTATAAAAATGTATTACTTCAGCATATTACTAACACACCAGCTTCGCAGGCACGTGAATTATTAAATCTCTAAATATACTCTTCAGCAAGGCTTGCATCAGGTTTTGCTTTCCTATATCAGTTTAATTATATTTTTTCTAAAGCCAATATACTTTACCAGGGTTGGACAAGTTTTCAAAAATCCACTTGCCCTATCGGTCAGGTACAATTGGTCATTTCCACTTGCCCGAAGCAACTTTTCATCAGCCCAAAATATACGTTATTTCTATGCATTTTTACTACCAATAAAATCTGATAGGTGGACACATGTATGGTTGCATAAGTTACATGATATACATGTACATGAAAGGCAGACAAATTGATTAATAGACGTTTACAAATATAGAAAAATGGTATCAGTGTGGAATTTGCAAGCTTATCACTGACATTTATTGTGCATCATGTAGATTTGGTGAAATTTTCGTACCAACCTATCTAACTTATAGTTCACCAAATGCTACCATCGCCTTCCATTTAATCTGGCATGATACCCAATTCCTACATGCGCCTTGATTGCAATTTTAGCACATGGTAATCGCAATCCCCATCTGCCACAGGTGATTGGAGTACTTGCCAAAAATAAAAATTGCCTCCATTTGTTAGGCATTAGGAGGACTGTCAGGAAATGTGACATGTGTGGTGACGAAGCCACGTGTACCTGTCATCAGCACAACAGTTATTAATCAGCACCAAGGGCAGGGACGTGTCAAAGGCTTCCTACCAATAACAACATGTACATTTTGTACTTAAAGGCATTAAATGCAACTTCAGAGCAGCAAAACTGGAAATATTCTGAATAAGGCAATCTTTGTGATATTGACACATACTGCTTCACATTAGCACATTTAGTCAGTATTTCATACATCGGACATTTTAGCACCAAGGGCAGGGACGTGTCAAAGGCTTCCTACCAATAACAACATCTACTTTAAAGGCATCCAATGTGATTTCAGAGCAGCAAAACTGGAAATATAATCTGAATAAGGCAATCTGTATGATATTTACACATACATTAGCACATTTCAATCAGTATTTCATACATTTAAAACTGAAGAAACAAGATGAGCCCTTCCAGTAACCATTTTCTGTCAGAATGTTGGGTATCTTTGCTGCATGAGGGTTTACATACAATGGGATAGTGTGGTTTTAACTCTGTATGACTTATACATGTACATTAAATGACTAGCATATTGACTTTGAAAAATTGGGTTTCCAAGCATTGGAATGGATCATCAGCCTTTAAGACCATGAACAATTTAATTTGTTTGTTCACGCATTCACCCACTTCATTTCCTCTCTGATTTGCAAAAAAAGAAACATTTCAGTCTCTGAATCAACTACAAAATGCTTATAGGATGTACCTTCTCTTCAGAGTTGTAGTTACGGCTTTTCCATCTATCTAATTATTGTATAAATAGAGAAAGAAACCAAGACTGGTCTTTATGAAGATGACCTTTTGTCCCAAACACTGTTGGCTGGCATTGGTTACATAATCTTCTGAAACATTTTAAAATAAGTGTTAAA